CGTGTCAACGTGAGATGTGTGCATGAGATGCTGATGCGAATTATGTGTTTTTTCATGCAGTAGTGCATTCAACCATTGCCTCCAGAAGAAAATGAACAGAGTAGGAAAGTGACTGGAGCGGAAGAGGGGACCAAAGGAAGGGCGCGGGGAGGGGGAGTCTGGAGGGAAGCGGGAAACGTTAATCATTAACATGATTAGACAGCTTGATGATAATTGTTCCACATCTGCCTCGAAGCACTGGGCTCATTTAGGCCCAGTGCGTCGGAACTATAAAAAAGATTTCGCCGCCATGAGCCTATTACTGAAGTGTCGATCACCAGACAATCAGAAGCATCCTTCAAGAAGTCAAGGACCTAAAAAAATAAAAGCTGAGGACACAGCAGTGCTGGAACGCATAACACTTCACAGAGGTGTTTTTGAAAAACAGGAAAATCAAGATGAGAGCACAAGGGAAAGTTTTTACAGTACTAACAGATCCAGGATCCAGCAAAAAGCAGTAGTTCAGGCTTGTTTATCAAAATGAAGCATCCCCTCCCCCTCTCCCGTGCCACTCTCGGTCCCAACCTATCTATTTTTCAAGTGGCTTTTCCTTTTCGAAATTTTTTCACCTCAAAAGCGTGCCTCCAAAAAGGACATGAAGCGGTACTGCTTCGATGTTGCAGTTATGAGAAGTGAAACAGCTAAGGAATTTTGCCCAACGGATGAAAATGGTACCGGAACAAAAAATCTCCATTCAACAGTCCGAACTGCAATGACTCACTTTTTAGAGCAGCAAAATTCGAACACTGTTATTGCGATGCTGGCCTTGAAGTGTGTGAAAAAGTTCAGTGCTGTGAACCTAAACTAATCCGGTATGGAATCATCTGAAGCGAACTGTCTGCACATGAGTTAAGACACATATGACTTAATAGAACGAAACGTTTTATCTCGCCCTCACCTTCCTTAATCTACACTACTACTTTTTCCTGAACTCCTTCGCACCTTGCCATCTGCACTTCTAGGGTCAACCTAAATGCTGCAATCTACTTAAGCTATGGATTTGTGAGGCTCTGTCTGCGAACGGATGTCAGCGCTGTGGATATGTGAGGCCTTTATACGATTTTCTGTGAGGAGATGTACAGTCGTTGCTAACAACAGAGACTGAATTTGGTCTTAAAACACGTATTTTTTTCAGAAGCATGCAAAGGAGTTAAGATCAACTGAGCAGACAAAAAAGTAAGAAACCGAATGCAAAAATTAATCTTGCGCACATCGTGAAATGACAGACCAAGTAACACTTTTAATAAAACAAATGGAATTCCAGAATGACGTCAGGGGTGTTGGGACTTCGTTGCCCCCCTTAGTTATTGTTAGTTAAGATAAGAAAACCAGCTCATCCTCGCCCTCCCGCCTCCTGCAAATTTCCTCCGCCTCCCCTATTCCAATCTTTTTGAAAACCGGAGACATGGTTCCATTTGTAATTCTCTCCATTTCGTTCAAATCGGTTTAGCGGCTGAGAAACGGTAAGCACGCAGAGGGACCAACACAGTAACATGGAATGGCCAAACAGCACAGCCTTTCTGCAAATATGCGGAACACGGAGCGACGGCTTATCGACGTACACGGCAGAAAACTTGAATTTGAGCGCTGTGAATCGTCAAGCACCGTAAAAGAAAGAGCCGAAGGACGATTAGCTGTCGCCGAATGCCCGCCGGCAACGGATGCTTCACCACCTCAGCCCATGTATTGTCCAGCAGAGCCATAACTAACATTGCAACAATACGTGAACAAGCAGTGCAACAGTTTGAAAGTTCGTTAAGCGTTCCGTTTGGAACTGGGACAAAACGGACGAATAGCGAACTTCGCTTATTAGCTCCTATTACTCCGCTGACCTTACCTCATCGCGCATGCCTCACCCATCCAATAAAACCAACCACTGATGACGACTGTCACAATGAGTGGATGCGCACGAAATATACCAACAGCACCTATGTCCGATAACTGACGAACCCATGCACAATACATACATCCTTCACTCAATAAAAGGGGCGATCATTAACACAGAAAACGGGAAAAAATGATCACTAAGATAGTCTCCGAAGAGATGGTACGAAAGAAGCAGTGGGCAACAATTGAAAATATACAGACGAGAATCACAAGATCCAGGACAGAAGCGCTGACACGTCTAGAACATTCCAGTAACATCACTAAGGCCGGATTTCTCTACATCGATTATCTAGGAAATATTGATATGGAAGGAGAGAAAAATATCAAAGAGTATGTAGAAATATAAGGCGAATGCAAGGACTGTCAGCAAGCTGCAGATTAGCTGGAGAAAGACGCCATAAACCGTAGCTGATCAAGCTAAGTGAAAATTAATGCAACACAATTTAATATCAAGTCAAAGTTATAACTCCCTCCGTATTCGCTTTTTATACGTTTTTGCATGCATGCAAATGCAATAACACAAGAGGCTGCCTGTGTGTATATATTTCTGCGTGTTCACACTTTTGTCACCCACTTACAATTCGAGAACCAGAAAAACTAGAAGGCTGAAAATTCGGTAGTACGAGCCTACATACAAAATTTGTGATAATTTAAGCTAGTACGTGCACAAGGTAGGTGTAAAGCAACAACCATTCATGCAGTTAATGACCTGAGTACTTCAAGTCTGGTGCAAAGACGCATGATCGCACCGGCAAGCCTGGTGCATCTCAATCTGGGTTATGAAAGGTAAAGAAAGTCGGAAATAACCCGAATGGTAGTAACAAGTGCTAACAGCAACTACCCGTTGGCAAGGCTATCGATAGTTTCCTCTTTGGAGAATTGCTTACAAACAAGTTGACAAAGGGTTTGGATACTCGACATAGGCGGTTATCAGTTTACAATCAAAAAGAATAAACAACTCATAGAGTTACTGGTCACTCCCAGGGCGAAGTCGAACCCTCAAGCTACTGGACAATAGTGCTACTTCCCACTGCGCCATGTCAGCCGACATACGTTCATGAAGATACCAGTGATGACATACATATTTAAAAATCAACCAAATGAACAGACATATGTTTCGGTTCATTAAGTCACACAATTTTGTCCAAAACTACAACTGGTCTTCGTCAGTATGAAGGTTGTGGCGCTGATAAATTAACAGTAGCAGTTAAAATATTTTTATAAATTAAGAGCAGTAGTAGCGGTTAAAATAAAAATTTGTGATTTTAAAACATAAAGATGTATAAAAGGAATTAACGTAACATGTCGTCAATGTCAAAAGTTTAACATATATCTTTTCTTGTATTTCAAGAGAAGTTTGGGAAAGAAAAGAACCGGATGTTACATTATTTTTGAATGATGAGGCCTGGGATGAAAGAGAATAATGATAACAACTGAATGTAGGATACAAAAAAAGGGGAGGGGGTAGGTCTTGAAAGTTTGTGATTGACGGGAAGGGGGTGAACTGTTGATCCAGTACACTATGGGTGTGTGTGCGGGTGTAAGCTGTGCTGTTGCGGCGGTGGCTGTTGCTGCTGCTGGTGCATTTGAGCCGGGACACAAGGATTGCCCGCAGAACGAGCTCCTCCAGAGACGATCAACTAACTAACTGCCTAACACCGTTGATGCTAACGACTAATTGTAATATGTGAAAGCTGACTGACTTGTGTACACACACGCACGCACACACATACACATTGATTTCACAAACAACTCCATAATATTGTTGTGTTGTGACGGTAAATTGATGTGCTGTAGCGCGATCGGTGACGTTGACTTTACTTGAAACTCGTTCGTGCAGAACCTATTTCTGAACCCGTCGGAGTCGGAGAAAAGAGGACGATTTTGCTTAAAATTTGACTTCGCAGAAGACAAAACTACGCGTGCGCGAGGGAAAAATGTGAAAAACTAGAACTGTCTATGCGGGAAACTGAAAATATAGGCGATTCTATGGACTGAAACATTCCTTTTCAGTTTATTTGTTACAATTTTTACAAAATAACATATTTGCTTTTACAGGATTTTCAAATCATGATCTTCTGTAATATCTCTCCTCAAAATTCCCCTGCGAAATCTCCTGTATTACTTTACGATTATTGTTACGAATACGTTCATTCCTTTCTAATTAAAACTAAAAATAAGACGACGAAAAGATTAACACAGGAGACAAATTTTTCTTAAAACAGTGTGAAATTTGGCTAAACCAAGATGAAAACTTACATAAAGTGATGGTATAGTTTGTTAAAATTGAATAAATTGGTCCAGAAACACCTAAAAAAGTCAAATAAAAAAGACAGAAAAGAACTTTATGGGCTAAAGAAAATGAAGCTGAATGTGAGCTTCTTTTAACATTGAAAAAAGTATCACTATTTCAGCCAGCCGTTTTCTCTGCTACTGGAGAATCTCTGGCATGCTGCCGAGTGCTCGGTGACACTG